AAATGATTGTTTTATAAGAGATGAAGATGGGTTCCAAATTGAAAACCAGATTATACATACTATATCGTATGCCGATGACATTGTGTTAATAGCTCCTACAGCAGCTGCACTTCGTAGAAAAATCCAACAAATCTGTGAGTATTTAGAAAAGCTAAGAGTTAAAATAAATTCCAAAAAATCAACAATTATGATATTTAGAAACGGAAGTAACATATCCAAAAAGCACATGTCTTTTTTCATTAATAAAGAAGAAGTGAAGATAGTGAAGGAAATAAAATTTTTAGGAGTTACATTCAAACCTAATCTGTCGTTCGATAAACACTATAAAAATTCACTAAATAAAGCAAAAATTGCAATAAATAATTTAATTGGTCTATTCTGCAAGGCAAAAATAAAGAACTTACGTTCACATTTTCAACTATTTAATTCGATTGTGATGAACTCAATGGGATATGCTGCCCCAATTTGGAGCATGGAAAAATTTAATGACTTTGAGAAAATTCAGAATATATTTATACGTAAGATATTCCAGCTAGAATATAACATCCCGGGTAGTGCCTTAAGATTAGAAACAAATAGATTCAGAATAAACACTATACTAACAAAAAGATATTTAAAGTTTCTAATCAAAATTATTAAGGCTGAAGATATAACAACAAAACTGCTCTTCGTACTATATCAGAAATCAAGAGAAATAGACATAAGACGAAGTTGGATAATTCAGCTATCGAAGATAATAAATAAATATGGATTTTCTATTAAACTGTTTATGGATCGTACGTATGATATAGAGCATTATAGTAAAGAAATAGTACATAGAGTTATGGAATACTCTATTATCCAAGATATTGAAGACATACAAAAACGAGAAAAGACAAGCTGGTATGCAACAATTTTAAATTATCCAGTAAACAACAACTATATATTGACAAACATAGCTTTTAACGTTAAAAAGTTTTTTATACAGATTAGGTTAAATAAATATGGAATGATCATAAATGACAAATATATAGATTACACTCAATCAAAATGTCCAAATTGCACCAAAAATCTATCTAAAATTCATATTTTATGTGAAAATTGTGACGAAAAGGATAAACTGCAAAGACTCCAGATTGGGACGCTAGCGAAATGTACTAGTGAGATGGAAATGTACAAGACATTAGATAGTGCTGATGTTAACACGATTTATATATTATATAACTATGTTAAAAAACTAATTAAATAATAATTATGTCAAATTTTTAATGTGGTTATATAGACTAATAAATAGAAAATATTAATAATGTTAAAAAATTACTATATGAGATGTTAATATGCGTTTATTCAAAATTAAAACGCCCTTGTAACAGGCGAAAGCCTTCTACGCCAATAAAGATTACTTACTTACTTACTTACATTATTTAATATTAGCAATGTCAAAATTTAAAGTACAACTATATTCTAGTGAACTTCTGAGTTCACTAGAATATAGTTCCTGTAATAAATCTTGTTTTGAGAACTTAATTTAAAATCCTTATAATCTTAATCCCTAAAACTTCTTGCAATAGCATTTCTAATTGAAATAGCTATGATGATGTTTATCCCTTAAACATAAATTTATTTCATTAAGACATGTTTTTTCTACTGGATCATTTCTTCTCTCACAGACATTATGTAATATACAAGTTTTAATTATTTGTTTTGATATATCAATCCTATTATCCATTCGTTTAGAAAGTCTTCGAAATCTTGCTTTTAATCTTCCAAAGGCATTTTCCACTACTTGTCGAACTCTAGATAATCCAAAATTGAATGTTTTTTCTATTTCATTCTCTGTTTTATTTGGAAATGGTTTCATTAAGCTTGGCTGTAAAGGAAAAGCAGTGTCACCAATAATTAAAGGCAGTACAACTTCTCCACCAATTCTTTCCCCTAATTCTAAGGAGTTTATATAGATATTTTGTAGGCATGTTAAGAGAGAGAATTTTTTTAAATATGCACATCATTATTCCTTCCAGGAGATCCTACATTTATATATGTAAACATATATTTGGCATCTGAAACAGCAAGGAGGACCAAAGAATACCATCTTTTATAATTGTAATAGTCAATGGAGTCTTTTTTTGGTGGTGAAATAGGAATGTTTGTTCCATCAATTGAACCAAAGCATTGTGGAAAATTCCAAATCTCGTAAAAATCACGAATTTTTAGTTTCAATTTCATTTCTGTTCTGTGGAAACTGAATAGCAATAGACATTAAATTATTTATAACTGCATTACAAAAGTCTATAACAATTTTGCAAATGGTGTCTACACCAAACAGGTGTGAAATAGTCCTATATTCAGATGATGCCAATGTATATAGAGCAACTGCTACTCTTTTATCTGTAGAAATACATTTTAAATTAATAACTATAAATTAATTTATGATGATTTATCAAAAATAAGCAAAAGTTTGATTTTATTTTAAATGTAATATTGAATGCACCTGCTTGAGGGCTAAGCGAATAATTCACAAGTGTTAAACTTGTTTTTGGCAATGTATCAGGTCAGTCCATAAGTTCGTGCGCATTTTTATCTACAAAAAAAGCAACAAAAAATTTTAATTAAATTTTATTTCAATCTATAATGTATTCATCATTATTTTGTACAATTTCTTGCCATCTTGATGGTAGCTTTTTAATCCTGTCTTTGTAAAATGATTTCGGTTTTCAATCAAAATATTCAGAAATAGCCTTTTTTACATTGTTCTCATTCTCGAAAGTTTTTCCTTTTAAAAAATTCTGCAAACTCCGAAAAAGATGATAATCACTGGGAGCAATATCTGGCAAATATGGTGGATGAGGTAAAATTTCCCAGTTGAAGCTTTTGAGTTGAGCAGTTGACGTTGTCGGTTAGCTATTGACAGTTCATGTGGTATCCATTTTCCTAGCTTTGAAACTTTTCCGATTTGTTGTAGATGTCTATGAACAGTTCAATGGGATGAATTTAAATGTTCCGCAATTTTATCAACTGTTAAAGATGGTTCTGCTTCAACTAGTGCAGACAGAGCATCATCATCAAAGTCAACAGGTCTTCCAGTACGAGCCTTATCCTCCACACTTAAATCATTATTTCTAAATCTTTCAAACCACTTCTGCGCAGTCCTTACACTGATTACAGTTTGATTATGAACAGTATTTAATTTTTTGGCTGCATTTGTAACATTCTCATCACTTAAAAATAAACAGTATAAAACATGTCTCTTATATTCGTCTGTTACTTCCATTTTAACGAAAATAAACAACTGAAACGTTTCCAATTCTGAACAGTATTATATGAATGAGATCAAATTTAATACTTCAGTGTAAAAAGTATCACATTAGATTGGCATTTTTAACAGCAAAACAAGATTTTTCTCAAGGTCATAAAATACACATGAACTTATGGACTGACCTGATAGCTCAACTTAATTCTGCTTAAATCTTAATCCCGCTTAAAGTGTACAGTGTGAATAGGGTATAAGCCATGTTGAGCATAGCAAATGTTTTAGTCACAGCTTTTCCAAGCTTAACACAAAATTTCACAGCAAGTCGTTGCTCCATCAGGTCATTCATTCTGAAGTCCAACAAACGAAAAAAATTGCACTTCACTAAAAACCACGTAGCTAATCAACAAATAAAGATATCTGTAATCGGGAAACGGATTTATCACCAGACGATCCGTACAAACCTAGCAACACCAAGCGGATTCCCCCGGAGCCACGCAATTCAGTCAGTCTGCATATTTTTTGAACAGACCTCGTACTTTCATCCCTCTACATATTTCTTTGTCAAACTGGAACAAAAGCTCACACTCGACTAATAAATTTTATACAAAATCACTTACAAATATTAGACCTTCCTTATTCAAATATTCTGACAAAAGCATTTGTGACATTAGTATGTTCATCCTTTTCACCAAATAGCACATTACAGTTATTTTTCTCGTCAATTTTGTACCCATATTGTCCTCCTTTGTTCATTTTTTTGGCCTAATTTCATAAATAACTGAAAAAGACTACAGAGTGTTCAAATACGAACAGTTATTTGTCAGAGTTACTTGTGCAATTAGGAGCCGAACAACTCCCCATTTTATAGGGGAAAAAAACAAGCCAATTTTAACGTGTATCGAGAAAAAATGGCGTCGCATTGAACATACTATCTAGTGCCCTAGTAACTAGCATACGTGACAATGCCATCTCGTTATAAAAAATATGAGCTAATACATGCATATAAAAATTATAAGGTAATATACGTACTACGTTGCTTATGTAGAGTTCAAAAATGCGGTCATTCTCGAAACTACAGCCAAGCGTAATCTGAAAAATTAAACAAAAACTATTTTAATTATTCAATAATAACTTTTATAATTGAAAAATATATGCAAGTTTGATTTGCTAAAATGCAAATTATCACACTTTAACACAGTATATCCTGCAACGTTTCTTTAGCACTGCGAGTTATGGCAAACAATGAATCGATCATAGTTTACTAGCTTTACAGTGCCGAATTGGGTAAATTTTAATATCGATTCTTTCGAAACATCATTTAACAATTAAAAACTTACCTATTCAATTATAATAATCTTAGGTTACAACCGGATATAAAATTCAAAAGTAAGAAACACGCGTACCGAACCACGTGTAAGTGACTATACGCCACCTGCCGGATAAATTCTGAATTATAAAAATAAAAATATGAAATTTTATTTCAAACGTTTTGATATTGTTAAAAATGTACAATACGTAAATATAATTGTTAACTTGAATCATTTTTAATTATTTTATAATTGTTATGCGTGTTTAATTTATTCGACGATAATTTATCAAATACTTATAATACGTCAAAATGGTCGGATAGAAAAATGACGGATTTAAATCGCTTTGAACGAGTAAAGATAATTTAATATTTCGATAAGCTTGGAATAATAAACGAAATAATTAAACTATAAATTAAGATAAACGTTATGTTGCTTACGCGACTTAATCGGACTCTGCACCAAGCTTAAAGTTAGTCAAGTTGAAACAGTACTCTCACAAACCAGACACGGACTTCATAAATTCAAACTAATTAAATAATTATACAATACAACTAACTCGATTCAATATACCAATGACAATCAATGGACTACTTTAGGATTAGGCGGAGTTTTAACTTGTTGAATCCTTTCGGAATCTGTCAGTCGACTCGATTAACTTCAGTCGCGGTTTCACTTTTTTGTTTCGGTCAAAAATATTTTTAGAGTATAAAATTTCCTAGATTTGGGTGTTGTAAACTATTTATCTTTTTCCCTTTCGACTGAGATTATGCAGACTCGAATCTATTAGCGAGCGAGAGATATAGTTCTCGCGATGGAAAATCACGAACAAGCGAGAAACGAGAAATCTCGCTGGCGAAAGCGAATTTCTGGCTTTCGCGATTATCGCGGTTCGGCTCTTTTAGCCGAATACTGCGTATGCGCCTCGACACAAGTAAAAGATGGCTTCTCATATCTTTCATTTATATTTAAAAAGACTTTTGCCTTAATATTTTTCCACCTATAGATATACATAAAGCAATATAAATTATCTTTTCTTCACAAATTATAATAAAGTCTTTTATCCTTGCGTTGTAGTCGAACCATTTTGATTTTTACTTCCATACAATACAATAATTCGGGCTTCTCTGTGACGAGTTCGTCGTCATCTCCACACCACTTTCTACCGTTTCTCGCGTCGGTGTGGTTGTATTGCACTTAACGAGAAACATCGTCATATATTCTCGCTCGCATCTGTATAGCCGCACCCTAAGGTTAACATAAGCGCAGAGCAGTAGATAAGGAGTTTGGTCATTCAATGTTTAATATATCTTATACTTTGATTTGTTGAAAGCTTCTCACGTGACATAAGGACGCCATTTTCCGGTAGTCTTTGCGATATTGTATATTATATTATTGTAATCAGTAATTTATTTTACAGTACATTATCGTATGCGGCAATGTATAATAACTAACTAACCGTCCGAAAGTTTTTCTCTTTCCCGTAATAATAGATGATGAACATATTTAAAGCGGGAACTGCACTGATGAGCTTCACTTGTTTAATTTTGACACACTGGACAGGTTTGGTCAAGTAATACATTTTTATTATTTTCTGTGGTTATTTGTTAGAAAAGTTATTTTCACTAATCAAATGATCAGAATTGTGCGATGTCCGTTGTCAAATATATTGAATGTTTTCTATGTCCTTTACAACTTTGATCAATGTTGACAGGTTTTCTAGCGCCTTTTCGGTTTCAATAGATGAAAGAAGATACCAAAAGTATCAGAAGTTTGTAAACTAGTTTTAGGCTCACTGCCAAATAAGGCTGATGAAGTGATTTGCGATGACTCCATGCATTTTTTTTCCTTGGATATTGCACAAAATAGCACCTAATCGGCCATTTTGTCGAATTATTGTCGCGCATCCAAGATCTAAGCATATTTTCGACATTTTGATTATTGCGTTCTATACTACTATGCCTTGTGTCTGTGGATGTCCCGGACTGTCACGCACAATTTTACATTCTGGCCACATATTTGCAAATTTTTCGAGGATTTCTACGGTGAATTCCCGGTCATTGTCACTCTATGGTATATGGAGTGCGAAATTGTAAAAAAAAAATTTTTAACAATTCTATTGCTACTTCAGATGCTCGCTTTCATTGAAGCGGTCTAAGATGTATTTAGTAGCATCTTGATAGTTTAACAGTTATTTATACTCTCCATCTGGTGTTGACTGTAAATAAATTAATAAATCAATTTGTCCATTTCCGTAAAATCGTTAGAAACTATTGGTTGAGTTAATACTTTTCTTAGATATAATTACGTTTGGTTTTGCAGGTAGGACCTAAAGCAACAACTATTTCAATTGTTTATTTTGTATTTAAAACATGTCTTTAACACTGTAAATCATTTTGTCACGACACTATGTCCACAGGACTTATGAATCTCCGTCAATATATCAAAATACTGTTCAGTAAGTATGATAGGTACCGTAAGATTCACGGTAATGTTTTCATAAAAATAAGATAATCTGTATTGGCTGTATTTATGACATCATACTTTGAATACTAATAATTGAATATTACCATTTTTCCTATGTCTAATAATCTCAAAAGTTCTCTCTAACCCACGGTTTCTTAAAATTTCCGTGCTGTTTGTGTAGAACTCCATTAGTTGTTTTTTGAAAAATTATTTTTAAACCCACTATATTTAGACACACATATTTTGCACTCTTTCACTATTTGTAATATCCAATATTTCTAGCGGAACAGACATACTACACGACGCCATATTGGTGAATGTCTTTTTGTTTCATAAGTGGTAAGCATCGGAGGTAAATATGAAGATCTGTAAAAGTAATATTAATAAGAGAGAGAGAGATAAAGATAAACTTGTATCTGAGCGTTCGAAAATCTATCAATAATACAGTACTTTAATGAATAAACATTCCCAGATTATATCCACAAATTAATCATGAAAAAGCAAAATAAGATCTAAAATGTCATTTATTAATATAATATATTAAAAAATACATTTTATTATTTAAAATGTTATAANTTTGTATATCATTAAAGCTTCATTTTTATTTATTTATTTATCAATTTGTTTTTCATTTTAACGTTGGCGTCAACCTTCCGAAAGGAAGTTCCAGATATGTTAACAGAATTTAGATAATTATCGTTCGTCAAAGGGCATCCTTTTATCTTTCTAGGAATTAAAGAATTTGTGTCAGACATTATATCAGTTAATCCGCTATCTTAAATAATTAATTAAATAATAATAATTAGGTTTTTCAGGTAAAGAAACTAGAAAGGGGATTCTCATCTCTAAAGAGCAATTATGAATATATTTATGTAAATATTATAGACCTAAATATCTGGACTGATATCTGATTTTAGACAATGATGCTTTCTTCAATGAGAATTCCTAAAATTTATTTTAAATTTATTAATGAAAATTAAGCATTATTATTAAATTTAAATATTTTTAAAATAGCATTAATTATGTAAAAAAATGAAGGATCATTTCGTAAGATTTCCTACAACAAAATTCTAAAAAAAATTTTTTTCGTATGTTTTGAAGAAATCAAGATATTTCCTTCAAATTCAGCTAATTCCTATTAGGTGCCACCTTATATCCTGTGTTTTGATTTTCAAAAAATTAGGTACGGTCTTTTGTATATAAATGCGTATAAGCAGAGGGAGATTTTTGTGAAAAACCCTTTATTTACATCTAAAAACCTTGCTCGAAACTCTAAAAATCTACATCGAACCGAGTAAGTATTACAAATAATTTCAAATTATTCGTGTACTTTTAGTGTATTAGAAGAGTATTTAAGCAATGTATTTTTGGAATGTTTTGGAATTCTTTTAAAAAATGATTTTAAATGTAATCGTTTTAATAGAGATTTAGTGTTAAATTATCAAAATAATATTGTTTTAGTCTAAAGATGAAGAAATTATTTATTCTTCTGGCCATTGTTGTTCTCTTGTCAATTTGGTCCGATGTTAGTGCAAAGAGGAAGAGGCGTTGTAGATTGAGATGTTCAAATAGTCCAAGACATTGCATTGTCCAGTGCTCTTGGAGCTTTGGAAAGAGGGAAATAACTGATAGGTTTGTACATAAATATGTATTAATACATAATTATAAAAAAAATTCGTAATATCTTCATATAAATTTTCATCAACTTCGTCTTCTGAATTATGTCTTCTCCCACTTATACCCGGTAAAAATACTTCACGTCCAGTAATTCTACTTCTTCCTTGAATTAAATCTTCTCTAGGAATATAGTCGCCAACTCTAGAATTCATTAAATTTTTAATTAAAACCCTCAGAAATTACAAATAATTATTAAAAAAAAAAAAACTATCGAACCTTTCATTAATTTCTCTCTTGCGTAGTTTATGAAGTTCGTAAGGACGAATCATTGCCGAATTTGCTTCCAAGTAAAGAGAATTGAGAAGCACAAACACTAAAATTATAACTAGAGCTTTCTTCATGGTCAAACTGTAAAAATAAACATGAATCGTTAATTAATAAGGGATGCTTCCAGGAGCAGTTAAATAAGTTTGCCAATATCGTACGCTTTATACGAAACAAATGACATCAATCGCTCGTCACTGAGCCGAGAGAAACTCTCAGCAGTTTAGAAACGGTAACCAATTTTCCAGCCAATCGAGTGAATGTCAGATATCATCTGACTAAATTCTAAAACGTGATTCGCTGTACACATTTTTTGAAAATTTAAAAATAAAATGCATCATATAAAAAAAATTATCTATAATTTTAACTGAATTTTCATTATTATTTTGCATTTTTAAAAAATAAAATTTGATTTTATAGAAAAAAAGAAGTATTCAAGGACAAGGTCGTAAACGTTCTTTAACTCGTTTATCTCCGAATTCCCAGAAAACGTTGCAAAAGTTTAAATTGAAATTCTACGTGTAGATATTAAAATATTTAAATAATATAGAAATTGTTCGATTAAACACGTTTTAAATTATATTTTATACAAATTAAATTAATTTATTCGTAACTTTAATATATCAAAATCGGTACCGAGTTCAGATATACCGAACATATATAGGCCTATATATATATATAATACATGCAGAACAAAGAAATATTAAACTACATTGAAAGAAATACTAACTTATAAGAATATTTTAGTATAGAATCTCACCTGAGAAACCGTCCGTTTGCTTATAAAATTCCTATTTACTACGTGTTTGTGTCTGTGTATATAGGCTATATATACAAACACAGACAGGTAGGTATATCATGCAACACAGGCAAGCGTGCTGTGTGCATATTGTTAATTATTCATAACCGGATTTGACAAACCAGATTAGACTAGAGAAAAAAGTGAATCAAAAGGAAATTCGTCATAATTTTTATTTTTATTTACTTTATATTTTACTAAATGGAGAATGAATCTGCAAAATTTTTATATACATTTATTTAAAAAAAATAAATAAATTATTATATTTTTCTTAGAAAAAAATTGTTATTTATTAATGTACACTCCCTAAAAGCTTCATTTTTATTTATTTATTTATCAATTTGTTTTTCATTTTAACGTTGGCGTCAACCTTCCGAAAGGAAGTTCCAGATATGTTAACAGAATTTAGATAATTATCGTTCGTCAAAGGGCATCCTTTTATCTTTCTAGGAATTAAAGAATTTGTGTCAGACATTATATCAGTTAATCCGCTATCTTAAATAATTAATTAAATAATAATAATTAGGTTTTTCAGGTAAAGAAACTAGAAAGGGGATTCTCATCTCTAAAGAGCAATTATGAATATATTTATGTAAATATTATAGACCTAAATATCTGGACTGATATCTGATTTTAGACAATGATGCTTTCTTCAATGAGAATTCCTAAAATTTATTTTAAATTTATTAATGAAAATTAAGCATTATTATTAAATTTAAATATTTTTAAAATAGCATTAATTATGTAAAAAAATGAAGGATCATTTCGTAAGATTTCCTACAACAAAATTCTAAAAAAAATTTTTTTCGTATGTTTTGAAGAAATCAAGATATTTCCTTCAAATTCAGCTAATTCCTATTAGGTGCCACCTTATATCCTGTGTTTTGATTTTCAAAAAATTAGGTACGGTCTTTTGTATATAAATGCGTATAAGCAGAGGGAGATTTTTGTGAAAAACCCTTTATTTACATCTAAAAACCTTGCTCGAAACTCTAAAAATCTACATCGAACCGAGTAAGTATTACAAATAATTTCAAATTATTCGTGTACTTNAATGTAACCTTAATTTATAAAAATATTTCGAATAAAATTAAAATAATAAATTAATAATAGTTTTTCTCAGATAACGAGATACTTTGTTCACTGTTTAACACGATATCCGTCCCGCACTACGAGTGAATATGGGTCATTTGGACGGAAGTTTAGAGGAATTAATTAAAGAATACAAAATATATAATTAACATAACAAATAAATTTCCAGAAAAATTATCAGGTTTTACTTTATTATTTTAAAATAAATAGTGTATATTTCCTGTTCTAATGCTGATAAACACTTTAACAACTGACCTATACGTTTGACCTTTGTCTCGATTATAGACGTCATCTAGCAACTATTGTGTAACGTACAGTACAGTACGTTACACAACTTCTTCAATTGCGTAACGTAAAGACTTCTCGAGGTTGTATTCCTGTTTTTACTACAGTATAAAGCCGAATCAAGGATAGGAAATTAGTACAAATGCATATAATTTATTTATAATACAGTATAAGAATGCAACAACATCCTGTGTCTGTTTACATTTATTAATTAAAATATTACAGTTCGAAAAATAAAATAATTGCTCCGAATATTGACTCGTACATTTTCGTATTCTGTAATTAATTTCCCAGTTTTTAGTGTCCTATTTTGATAATTAGCATTCTGTAAACGTCAAATCAATAGATTAAATTGCCGAGGATCCTTGTTTGGAGAGGATTCTCACGTCTAGAACGGCTCTTCTGAAGAAGCGATAAAAATCCTCACTTGTTATGAATCTTTACAATGTATAAACGAATATACAGAATAATATATGACATAAATTCTTCGTATTCCTTTTATGCATCGCTTTCTTCCATACGTAAGTCATTGTTAAGTGCAATGTTATTATATTGTTCAGTATATTAAAGAATTTTTTCGGGATTTTCATTTCTTTAAGCTGTAAATAAATAATCACCGATTAAAAATATATAAAATTTAGTAATTACACATTTCCGAAACAGCTGAAATATGTCGATACGAGACAAACAACACATGCAAATTAACTTTAAAAAAATCCTTATTTTTTTATTATTGGAAATGAAATCATTTATCCTGTTGTTATCGGAAGATTCTAGGAAATGAATTAACATTAGTCGACATTACTTTCAGTTAAAATATTTGCTGTCAAAATGAGGAGTGCCGTGTTACGACACACACTGTATTGGCGATAAATGTAGAAGGGATTCTCGAGAATGTAGACATTTATTTCGAGATGCGAATACAATAATATATATATATTATATTCGTCTTTAGATTTAATAACAGGTCCTGTCAGGCTTAGAATAACAAGGTGATTAACGTTACATTGTCATACATGAACAATCACTTTCGGCTCTTTTCGACGTGACTCTCCCTACGTTCCTCCGATACGATTACATCGTTATACTGTTTTTATACATTATAATTTTATAAAACTTAAACAAAAAACTTATTTTTAATGACATTGTAGCGTTAATTCAATATATTTTATTGGGATGCAATTTGAAAAACATTGAAAATGCCCACTGTCTTTTCTTAATTTATATCTTCCCTATTTATGAACTATCAAACCTAAAGAAAGTCCTCAATTGTTTATTGTGATATTGTAACAATTCCGAGCTGAAATTTTTAATTATATTTTTAATTTATTTAATTTATAATATGCTCTCTATCTCAAATTAATAGTGGCTTGCCCCTGTACATCATACTTTTCCTTTAACAATAGTGTCGTGCCGGTCATCAATTTTAACTGCTTTCAGAGGAAAAATTTTGAATTCAAATAACGTGACTTTTCGGTTTGTATTGAAAGTTTGTATATAGTTAATTAATTGGGACCTCTATATCTGGTCTCGGATTTCATGTAGCTAACTCCGTTCTCGAGATTAAGGAAAGACACAGACGGACAGGCGAACAAATGGATAAACAAACAAACGGATATAACATCATATCCGTTTGTTTGTTAACATTATATCAATATAACATTTTCAATATAAAACTTGTAGTTAAACTTCCGAGTAAATAACATTACTGCCGGTGGCGGTTAAACATAACACTAAAACTGGATACAGTTAGACCCCATAATAGATACTTGTTTTTAGCACTTTTATACATACATGTTATTAATAATGTTGGTTTGTATACTGCTTGAATAATAGCACTCTACTGTCGTAGTCAAAAGATATTTCCATGGATATTCTAATTCTAATAAGCCCCAAATGGGATTTTTATGAATCTTACTTTCCAGACTTTAATAACCAGACACATGGCTCAAGTATTTTGCATATAAGCCGCAAAATTACACTTACTTAATATGCATGGGGTTTCTAATTCATTGGCCAGTGAGTGTGTAATATGAAGCAGATTTATTAATAGGCCACTTAATAGATTTAGGCGCTTTTAATAGATTTATTATTAATAACGCCTTTCTAACTGCTGCATCCTGCAGTGAGAAAGACTCTATGATATATGTTATTCACAATATGCTGTAATATATGTTAATAATTCATCTAACATTAATAAAAAAAGAGCACGGACTTAAAGTTAAACCTCAATAAATTCCAAAAATCTACCCTAAATCCTCTTTTTGTAACATTCTCTCATATTTCTTTTTAATTTACATTTCTTTAAGAAACAAGAGATACATTTATTTTTATACAATTTAATGATTAATTAGTGTCAGATACCGGCACATTATAACATGACAAATCTCAGTTATATCTCTTACAGGCTGACTAGAATCATCCGACATTCCATACAGTCAATGGGTTCGAGTACAAAAAAAATACAATACATTTTTCTATATATTCTTTTATTTCAATTGTATTGATATTTAATAGAGAAATCGTATCCTGTATGTCTATTATAATTGAAAATAAATTATTCAATGTGAATAAATCTCTATTATTCGAGTTACTGTAGTAATACCGAGCACGCCATCCAATTCCAAATANTCCATAATTATTCAAAAAGATCTTTTAAAAAAGCCATACTATAGTATAAAATGGTCTTCAAAATTATTATACTTTAATTTATTATAATGATACGAATGGAAGAAGGCCGTACAAAAGGGAAGAAAATACATTTAGGTTTTTAAACCGAGGGTCGCGACCTTAAATTGGGTCTTACCTCTTTAAAGATAAAGAATTTATCCCCGACATAAGATATTTATAACGGTTATATCGTTAAAAGAAGTCGCTGCCTATAGTTGCTAACCTTGGTTAATGTTATCGGCGTGTAAGAAAATGCACCCCCTCCTATTTTTGCCGAGTCATTGCTGCTCGTTTGATAATATATTTACGTAAGAAAATTACATTTTTACGATTCTTGAAGAGTTTCGGTTTGTAAAGCAATGAATCGACCCCGTTTTAGAGGAAAATTGTTACATTATTTAAGGAAATAGTTCGCTACTCACAGGGGTCGCGAATCACCGGTTGAGAAACTCTCT